TACAGAAATTGAGATGATTTTGATTGGTTTCACAATGAAAAGTACCTTGAAATTGAGCTCAAAATAGCAGAAATGTTCGATTTTTGCCAAAGTTCAAAAGTAAACAAATCATGCCACACGTCCAATACACGTCAACTGGTGAGTCTAATATTCTTTCACAAGTGCCCTGATATTATTTTTACCATTTCTACACTAATGCAGTAGTCTGCATAACTGTAAATCTTCTATTTTTTTGTGAGAATAAAAATTCAAAGTGGGCAACAAAAGAAATGTAAGAGGGGCCTGAGGATGTGACTAATGAACAGAGGAAATGTTATTTTAGTGCCAGGAATGTCTGTCTTGTTTATTCTGAACACTATTTGGAAATTGGCATCTTTTGAAATTTGTGTGAAATTGACAAAATTGTTAATTTCTGACCACTTTATTGGATAGTTGAAATCAGTAAATGGGTGGTTTCTTGTACTCAATCGATAGAAAAAATAGAGTTCTAGCAAAATAGTTATGATTTTTGTTGACTAGTACATTGGAATTGGCCGAAAACAGGGCTCAAAGTGGGTGAAATCACCGATGCATAAACATTGTCGAAACCACTAAGTTTGTGAGAGCATAATTCCGTACGTTTTCCATCAAATTTCATACTTTTGGTGTCATTATGATCGGGAAAAGATTCTCTATCTTTTCATAAGAATTTTTTTTTTTTCTGAAAATTTTTCGACCCTGAGAACAAGTTTAGGAGAGGGCCTCTCAACCCTGAAAGGGTTAGGCATACTCTGTTTCCTATGAGCCATGACTCGATCCATGACAGCACTTTTTCCCCAATGCCACGAGCTGTCACTTTCTTTAACAGTCTCTGGTGCGGTACTCTATCAAAAGCCTTACTAAAATCTAAAACAATATCGAATTTTTTATCATGATCAACAGCCTCAAAAGCTTTACTGAAGAAGGTTAATAAATTAGTTAGACAAGAATGGCCCCTCATGAATCCATGCTGAGTATCATTAATTAAGTTATGCTTATCCAGATGGCTTCTTATAATATCAGCTATAATTGACTCTAGTAATTTGCCTAAAATTGAGGTCAGGCTCATTGACGGTAACGACTTGTCCCCTGCTTTAACCCCTTCAGGGTCCAAGGCCAAAATCTGAAGTGGTGCTCCAGTGTCCAAGAAATTTTGAAAAAAAAAAAAATTATTTTTTCTTACAGAATTAAAGAGTATATTTTTGTGAAGGTAATAAGACAAAAAAAAAAATTCTGATCAGTACTTACCGAGATACAGCGGCGAGAAGTTTACCCAAAATGACCGGGTGGCGGCAACATCAGTGACTTCCGCAAAATCCCATTTTTATATTTTACGTTTTTTATACTTTTTTCTTTTCTTTTCTAATTTTTTTCTTTTTCTAATAAGATTTGTGGCCTGTGAGACCAGTATAATGTATATTGTATAAGTGTACACTCATTGTATTCCATGCAATAACTGCACTAATTTATCATTATATTGCTTACAAAACTTGTTTACAAGTTTAGTGTACACAAAATGATGAAAATATTAGTGAGGTTTTTGTGTTGAATACAATGGTACAATATAGTACCATATGGTACAATGGTGCCATATGATACAATGGTACCACCTGATACAATGGTACCATATGGTACAATGGTACCATATGGTACAACAGCACCATTGGTACAATGGTACCATATAGTGCAATGGTACCTTATGGTACCATATGGTGTAATGGTACTATATGGTACCATATGGTACATTGTACCATATGGTACTGTTGTATTCAACACAATAAACACACTAATATTTTCATTATTATTTTGTTTACAATAATTGTTTACAACAAAAATATGCAAAAATGTTATATATTAGTAATGTTCTATTATACATTTACAAGTGTACAGGATCTTGATGTGTTCCTTGAGGTGGATGACAAAGCACTTTGTCTAGGAAACTGGAGAGTCAGTAGCTAGCTTGTGTGGCCACTCAGTCTTGTCTGGTCTCATGCCACCAACACCTATTGACCATATGGTACAGGGTACCATATGGCACAGGGTACCATATGGCACAGGGTATCATATGGCACAGGGTACCATATGGTACATTGTACTATATGGTATAGGGTACCATGCAGTACAGGATAACATATGGTGCAGGGTACCATATGGCACAGGGTACCATATGGCACAGGGTACCATATGGCACAGGGTACCATATGGCACAGGGTACCATACAGTACAGGACACCATATGGTACAGATACAGGGATAACTGGAAATAAGTCACCCTGACTTTTTTGGGTTATCCTAGGATTTTATACGTATGCTGCTATGTATGATAATCTATGTAATTGTATTTCTGTATACCTGAATAAACTTACTCAAGTGCATGTGGCATCATAAGTAAGTTTATTTAGTTATACACAAATAAAGTTACATAGAATATCATACTTAGCAGCACATGTTTGGAGAACCGAGGATAACCCAAAAAAGTCAGACAGACTTATTTCCATTAGGGTCCCTGTTCCCTGTACCATATGGTATAATGTACCATATGGTACAATGTACTATATGGTACATTGTACCATATGGTACCATTGTACCATATACCACTGTATGACATGGCACCATTGTGCCATATGGTACCATTGTACCATATGGCACAATGGTACTATATGGTTCAAAACCATAGAATTCGTCTTCAGCTCACTTCCATCAGTTTTAGAACTAAGTTGTGAAGAGGAGAGTCAGAATTCACCCGGAGAGTGAGTGTGGAGTGAGAGCTTCCTTGCCGCCAGGCACTATGAACAAAGCTACTTTGCCAGCGTTCCCACAATGCCATGCAGGTGTCCAGATTTTTTCTATGGTGTGCACACTGACCACCCAGACCCATTCTTTTAGATGCAGGCCTACCAGCCTTCTCGTGCTAAATTTGACGGCGCTAGAATTTTGGCATAGATCTACGGTTTGGACCCTGAACGTAAAGCCGTAGATCTACGGGACGGACCCTGAAAGGGTTAAAAATAGGAATTACATTAGCCATCTTCCACATATGAGGCACTACACCTGTTTGAAGAAAAATATTAAAAATATTAGTCAATCGTTCACGAAGTTCCATTCTGCACTCTTTAAGAACCCTTGAAAAAACTTTATCAGGGCCCGGGGATTTATTTTGCTTCAGTCAGTCTATCTGTTTGATGAACCTTTTGCTAGCGACTATGATATTGCATAATTTATCGTCTTCAGGCCCACTATAAAAATTAATTACTGGGATATTGTTAGTGTCTTCCCGAGTGAAAACCGAGAGAAAATAATTATTAAAAATTGAGCACATTTCATTCTCCTTGTCAGTAAGATGCCCAGAGTAATTTTTAAGGGGACCTATCTTATCTCTAACTTTTGTTCTATAAACCTGGAAAAAAAATTTTTGGGTTAGTTTTCAAATCCCTAGCAACTTTAATTTCATAGTCCTGTTTAGCTTTTCTTATCTCCTTTTTTAACGTCCCTCTTAATGTCAATATTCTGATTCATAAGATGACCCTCACCTCTTTTGATGTGCCTATAAATTCTTTTTTTCTGTCCTAAAAGATATTTGAGCCTATTATTCATCCATTTTGGGTCATTTCTATTTGATCTAATTTCTTTATATGGAATAAGTTCTCTGGGCAGCATGTATAGTGTTCGGAAAACTCTCATACTGATAGCTCTCTTCATTACCCCAGTCCATAGATGATAAGTGTTCTCTAAGCCCATTGTATTTTGCTAAGCGAAAATCTGGGACCATTACTGAATTATCCCTATTATCATACTTGTGCCGAGTTCCTCTGTAATTTCTTAATTATTAACAAGGGTTTTCTTGTTTGCCAGAGCCAAGTCAAGCAGATTATGTCCCCTTGTAGGTTCTGTCACAAACTGCCTCAAAAAAACAATCCTGAACTACTTCTAAGAGGCTGTTAGATTCTAGATTCCCAGTCAAGAAATTCCAATCAATCTGACTAAAGTTAAAGTCTCCTAGAATTACTACATTATCATGCCTTGTGGCCTTAACAATTTCCTCCCATAGTAGTCTCCCTTGGTCCCTATCTAAGTTTGGGGGATGGTATATCACTCTTAGAATCAATTTTTCATGCCCCTCTGAAAATTCTATCCAAACAGACTCAGTATGTGTTACTTCAGACTTTATACCCGTTTTTATGCAACAGTTCAAGCAATCTCGAACATACGGTGCCACCCCACCCCTTTCCCAATAATTCTATCTACTTGGAACTTAAAATCCTGAATATGGCATTCTGCAGGCATGTCCCGACTTTTTGAATTAAACCACATCTCAGTTATGGCAAATACATCAATGTTACATGCACTAGCAACTAATCTCAACTCGTCCATCTTATTCCTAGCACTACGGCTATTAGCATAATATATATTTAAAGACCCTCCTTTCTCTTTACCCTTCCTGCTCATTTCTGCTTTTCCACTAAACCTATTACTGTCATTGTCACCTAGTGCCACTGGCTTTCCAATATCCACCTCATTCTGCCTATTACTAGTTCTCCTAGAACTCATAATATTACTACACTGGGAATTCACTGTTTTCCTGCCAAAACCCATACCACTAATTTAAAACCCTAACAGCTCCCTCCACTGCAGTTGCCAGTGCCCCCACCCCAGAGCTAGATATGTGAACCCCATCCCTGGCATACATGTCATTTCTGCCATGGAAGAGGTCCCAGTTGTCAATGAATGTTACTGCATTTTCCTTACAGTATTTGTCCAGCCAGCAATTGACATCAAACCTCATTACCTTGCAGTCTTAGACACTTTATGACCCTTATAGGTTTACCTCTTCCCCATGAATATAATATGAAACTTTAATTGATCTTAGCTTCTAGATTTCATTATTTAACACTTGAAAAAATAATTTGGAAATTTTTAAAAATATAAGATACTGAGAAAATTACAATGTGATTAAATCTTATCACTAAATATTGATGGACTTACTTGGTAAAGACTGCTCCTGCCAGACCAAAGTTGGTGTCATTGGCACGCCTAACAACCTCTTCCTCAGAGTCAAACACCAGCACAGATGCAATAGAACCAAATACCTCCTCCCTCACAACCTGAATTGTAAAGCATTTATGTAAAACTATACCATAAAATTAAAATTAACATGTAATACAGGTACAACATCGATTTTCCAGCAATGGAGGATGCAGCACCTTTTTTAGTCCAGAAAAAATTACAAAACTAGTTTTTTGCTAAACTAGTTTACCAGGAGGCCACAGATGGTAGCGTGTTTATGCATGTTCACTTATATTGTTTGCACTGTAGTTGTTGGTGGTGATCTGATTCTTCGTGAATCTTAGCATATTTTTTTTTTAACAATTAGCCCTAGCTATGGCCACTGACAACTGAACTGTCAGGTGAATTAATCAAAAAGTTAGAACAATGTTCCTCTGTGACAGAACAGAAGCTACTGAAATTTATTTGGTGTGAAATATTAATAAGATAGCCAAGAAGAATGTGTCATAGCAGTAGACCTTCATCTGAAACTCCTGTGGCTTCAACTTCAAGTACCCAAGATGCGCTCTCTGGAACATCACGAATCCATGCTGAAACAGTCAACTATGAATCAGACAGTAATCCCAACGACCCTCAACTTTCAGACTTTTGTGATTAGCTCTACACTTCCAGTAAAGTTTTGAAATTTACCACTTTGGTAGTGGAAGTACAGCAACATTTTTTGTAAAGTAAAAGGACACAAGTGCAACTAATGTGACATTTTACTGTGGCAACGTTTCGCTCTCCAGGAGCTTTATCAAGCCATTGTAATGGCTTGATAAAGCTCCTGGAGAGCGAAACGTTGCCACAATAAAATGTCACATTAGTTGCACTTGTGTCCTTTTACTTTACATATTGTCGGTAATTCTACCAACTTTATTACAACATTCTTTGTAAGTACAGTAATTAATACATCTTTCATTTATATTAATGTTTAATTAAAGTTTCTCACAGACCATGGTGAATCAGAGGTGTATTGTTGATTTGTTATTCTGTGATCTCTGGACCCTGAAAGGGTTAAGCATCACTTTATTCCTGAAATCAAGTTTTACATGCACAGGAAGAACTTTGAACTTTGCATTTACAGTTGCTGTCACTCTTTGATAATTCTTGTATTTATCCAGAAGCTTTGTTGGATGTGAACCCACATATAAATGTTGTATTTTTACCTCCAAATACATCTTTAGCCCTTTGACTGTTTTGGTCGTATATATACGTCTTACGAGCCACCATGTTTGACGTATTAATACGCATAAATTCTAGCTGCTTCACATCAAGCAGGAGAAAGCTGGTAGGTCCACATGTGAGAGATTTGGTCTCCATGGTCAGTGTGCACCACATAAAAAAAATCAGGGAGCCAGTGGTGCATTGTGGGAGTGCCATTTCAGTAGTCCTTGTTCAGCATGCCTAGCAGTAAAAAATGTGTGACTCCCCAGCAAATCTGGGACTTTACTCTTCCCAAGTGATGCTCTAACACAGATGGAAGTGTCAGTGAGCATCAATTTCATGGTTCTGAGGAGTTTGTGACCAAAAGCAATGCCCATGATACTAGAAGAATGAAGGAGAATGAGGGAGAGAATGAGAGAATGAGGGAGAAAGATAATTAGATAGTAGGATGGAGGGGAAGCGAGCATCCGACCCCATTGTTTTGACAGGTAGTAGGGGAAGTGAGTAATGAGAAAACATGTCATTTTGACAGCTGCCGACCCTGACTCAGAACAATTAGAAGTCCACATACTCACACACAACACAAGCTTGAAGATAATAGCAGTTACATGAAAGTATTCAGTGACTATATATGTGTGTATATATATTATAGAATATATATAGAATATATATATATTATAGAAACCAGTAGGAAGAAACGAAGGCAGGAAGGAAGGATGAAATGAAAGGAAGGAAAAAAGTAAGGGAGGAGAGAAGTAAGGTAGGAAAGAAATGCAGGAAGGAAGGAATGATAACACATGACCATTTACCTAGCATAACTACCTAACACAACTGCCTGCTAATACTTTGAAGAAAACTGCTCAGATGAGGTGTTTTGTCTTTGCACATAAAAAAAATGCCCACAAAAATGCAGACACACTCGTTTTATGTGTGAGTGTAAAACACCATTGTGTATGAAACCATGTTTCAAAGAGTTCCACAAGCTACAGAACTTCTAGAAATATGTCCAGTGACTGTACATTTGTATATACAGTGGACTCTCAACTAACAGCATTAATCCATTCCAGAGGGCTTGCCGTTGGTCGAAATTGCCATTGGTCGAGTTAATTTTCCCCATAAGAAATAATGGAAATACGTACAATTAATCCGTTCGTAACACCCCAAAGTCTGAAAAAAAAAAAATTATATGAAATACACCTACCATCTGACTTATGACCTGCTCGACATACGTCCACTCGACTTACGACCATGCATCTGGCAGCTGGGCTGGGCCAGCTGATGCATACCGCTGTACAATATTTGACAATATTCGCGGCAGCAATGCGTCATGCAGGCAGCATCAGTTTGAGTAACCCTGCCCTATCAGCAGCATCATACTGTATTAACTGTACTAACTGGACAGTAAATTTCACCATGGCCCCTAAGATGAAGTCTGAATCTTGCACTGGAGATTGTAGGACCCAAGAAAGGCTCTTACTCTAACTCTAATTTGTTTCACTGTGCACATGAAACCTGTCTGTATCTGCTGCCATGTATCATCTGTCTCTAACTATGGCTGTCTTTCGTCTCCTGGTGTCCATCGATATACCTCTGTCCCTTTCTGATCAACGTGATCACTCCTGCAACTGTGTAAGTCCTTTGTTCAAACCAACGATCAGCAATCTAACTAGAAATCTCAGAGACCCAAACATTAAATGCAGTTGTCTAAAATCCCTTTTTAATAAAAATAAAATAACACTGAGGCACAATCAAAGTGTAAAAACGTTAATATAGACAGTTGCTTAATCCATCACTGAAATTTTTTTTTAAAATTTATAATAAACATGCTACATAAGCATATAAATAACAATATCAATGCTTTGCTGGTAGCTAAGTGAACAGAACATTCGGCCAGCTGCAACAACTAACGTTGTTTACTATAACTCTGAACATTCCTACATTCTCATTCTCTCTCATTAATCTGCATGGAGACTCACCTCACACTCTACATAAAACTACAGATACTTAACGTAACGTAATGAGTGGACACGATTATTATATTATAGGGTTACCAAAATAGATAATAGACATGATTTAATTAAATATAATAATGAATATTAATACTATTATTAATTTACACTTTCAAAATCTGTATAGTTTAGTCAATTTTTTGGGGATTACCAAAACAGGTAAAATATAATATGTATCGGATAAAACTTAGTTACCTGTGAGAGAGAGAGAGAGAGAGAGAGATACAGAGTAGATAGAGAGAGGAAAAGATCGACAGATTAGAGAAAAGCATGAGAATAGATAGATTAGAGAGAGAGAAGACCTTAGAGAATACGAAGATGAGGATAGAGAGAAGAGATAGAGTAGAGAGTGAGAGAGAGACCATAGCATGATAAGAGTAGAATGATAGAGAGATGAGATAGAGAGAAGATTCTGAGACCAAGATTAGTAAAGATAGAGAGAAATTAAGACGACATAGCTACTCATAGTACAGATGTAGAGAGAGAGTGAAGAATTATCTCAATTATACAGACTACAATATGGTAATTTATTTAATATAAAAAATAAGATGATAATATCGACCTATTAAAATAAAATTGCCCAATTTAAATCTTATATGCCAATGAGAGAATAAGAATAGAAACTATTGAGAGAACTTTATAATACCATTTGATAGAGAATATTTAGAAAGAGATTTTCAGAGAGAATTTAGAATATAGGTAGCACTAGAGCGAGAGTAGTAGAAAGAAATGCGATAGAGATTTAGAGAGAGAGTTTTAGAGAGTGATATAGAGATATAGATGAGAATTTACGAGATTAAAAGTTATAAGATTGGAGAAAAGCTTAGAGAGATAGAGCAGAATAGAGAAGAGATAGTGAGAGATTAGAGAAGAGAGATTAGATAGAAAGAGAGATAGACAGACGAAGAGTTAGAGAGGATGGAGAGATTAGAAGAGAAATAAAATGAGATTAGAGAGAGAAAGAGTTTTTAAAAGATATAGAAGAAAAAGAGATTTGACAATATTGAGAGAGAGGAGAGAAGTTGAGAAGAGTAGATAGCCGAGATAGGAAGAAGAGATAGAGACGATAAATTAGTTAAGATTAGAGAGATGTTTTTGAGATTAAAGATAGAAAAGAGTGAGAGAAGATAAGGTGAATAAATCAAACAAATTTCTATCCCCTTTTTTTTTTCCCAACTTACCACATAAACTTTTGTATCTTTTTTTATTATAAACTAACCAAAATTTTGTTTCAAAAATTTCTACCTCACTTTAAAAAAAACTAAAATTGCCCAATTTTTTCAAACCCTTATTATTCCCCAAAATTTTATTTTAAACTATATTGCAAACTTATTGAAAAACTTTTTTTAAATTGACCTTTTTCTTTCTATATTTTTTTAAAAACAAGTATTTTAAACCCTACAATTTTATTTTTACCCTTTTTTACCATCTTATTTCCCCATATTAAAAACCCAAAGTCATTCCCTTTTTTATTTTTATTTTTTTTTTTATTATTTTTTTTGCTATTTTTAAAACTTTGTAATTTTTATCCTGTCAATTTAAATCTAGTTATACTCAAATTTTTGGGTAAAAAACTTATGTAAGACCTTAGTGAAAATTTACAATAGTCTTTTGTCCCTTTTTTTTATATTATTAGTTTTTAAACCCCTTTTGAGGGTCGACGGGGCCTCCCGAAACTCGTTCCCCAAGGGTTGGGCCCAAATTTTCAAAAAAAAAAAAAAATTATTTTTTTTTATGAAAAAAAATTTTTTTTTTTAAAACATTTAGTTAAAAAAAAAAAAATTTTTCCACCCAATATTTCGGAGATAGGGATGAAGAATTTTTCAGAAAAAAAAATGAGCCGGTATGGAAAACAGGGCGATGCCGCTCACCCGGTAAACTTT